TTTTTCACCTTTGCTAATTTTTTTTTTTTTTTTTGCAGTACGCGGGCCTCTCACTGTTGCAGCCTCTCCCGTTGCAGAGCACAGGCTCCGGACGCGCAGGCTCAGCGGCCATGGCTCACGGGCCCAGCCGCTCTGTGGCACATGGGATCTTCCCGGACCGGGGCACGAACCCGTGTCCCCTGCATCAGCAGGGGGACTCTCAACCACTGCGCCACCAGGGAAGCCCACCTTTGCTAATTTTTTTTTTTTTTTGGTATGAGTTTATTAATTAATTTATTTATTTTTGCTGTGCTGCGTCTTCGTTTCTGTGTAAGGGCTTTCTCTAGTTGTGACAAGCGGGGGCCATTCTTCATCGCGGTGCGCGGGCCTCTCACTATCGCGGCCTCTCTTGTTGCGGAGCACAGGCTCCAGACGCGCAGGCTCAGTAGTCGTGGCTCACAGGCCCAGTTGCTCCGCGGCATGTGGGATCCTCCCAGACCAGGGCTCGAACCCGTGTCCCCTGCATTAGCAGGCAGATTCTCAACCACTGCGCCACCAGGAAAGTCCCCACCTTTGCTAATTTTTTAGGCCAAAAAAAAGATATCTGTTGATGAGGTCTAAATACTATTGATTCATTTTCTTCTAATTATAAAAATAACACAAATTATTTTAGAAATTTTGAAAATATAGACAAGCACAAAAAGAAAAGAATAATTCCCTTTAATCCCACCACTCAAATATAATATCAAATAATATCTGACATTTGTGAAATTCTTACTCTATATATACCTAGGGCAGCTTTTGATACCTAATATTTCAAAAACAGGATTCACTAATACATATTTAATATATGTGTGAGATATATATATATATATACACACATATATATGGTAAATATACATATGCATATATTTAACCTTTACAAAAAAGGTACTACTTTTTTATAAACTAGTTTTTTTCACCTAACATAAGTCACAATCATTTTCTCATAATATCTGTATTCTGGACTGGAGAGTGTTATTTAAAGAGTTCCACATTCATATCCATCTGTCTCCCTTCACCATCCAAAAACTAAGGACAACACTGAGCCCAGCAATGAGTCCTAGGAAGCTGGCTTGCTGCTAGCTGTGTACAGTGGTGTAACTGACTCAGCAGCAGTTGAGAATGGGAAATGGAATTAACATACAACTCTCACTACTCAGGGAAGCCAACTCCCACCTCTGCCTTAGAGCCTTCTGCTGGGGACTACCTATCCTATCTGTCCATCGGACAGTATAACATGCAACTCCTTTTAGCTACTAGCTCTCCTGTGCCCTCATCCCATACCCTTTTAGGTTTTCTCACCACCACCACCCTTCAACGTAAACATATTACCTACATTCTCTGCCTCTTGTCTTCACTGTCTGCCCCCCAGAACACCAAGCTCTCCAGACACTGAACCACAGGAAGTTCGATATTCCATTCTCTTATGTAGCCTGGCCTATGTGTACACTTGAGGAGGTGAACTATATTTGGATTTGATCCAGCTTCCATGGCAGAAAAGAGTCTGCAATGGGTGTATCATTGCTCACCTAGACTATTGCAATAGCTTTCACTCCCTCAAGTGTTGCCTTTCTCACCACTGCACCTTCTGCTCCACAAATCCAGCCACATAGCTGTAAGTGAGCTTCCTAAAAATTAATTGTTTTGCCATTTCTCTGCATAAAATACTCCAGTGTGCCACCATGGCCTATGGGATGAAGCCCAAGTGCCTGTTGCAAGGCCCTCTGTGATCTCTGTTGCCGCTCCTATAGCCATTCCACCTATCACTTCTGCGTCACTCTGTCGGCTCTAGTAATTCTGAGTTTTTGTTCTCTGCCCTCCTGACACCATTTCACACCCTTGTGCCTTTGCACATACTTCCCTTCCTGTGTAGAATGCTCCCGCCTTCTTATCTGCCCAGAAAACTCCTATTCATCCTTCAAAGTCCTATTCCAAAGATATTCCCAGAAACTCAAAGTACCACCCTACATATTCTTTATTAATTACAAAGAGGAAAAATTACCTTTACAATGTAGAAACCTAGCTAATGCCACCTTAACCTGGTGGTCAAATTTATCATCATCGTTAATGGGACAAACAGACATCATATGTCCCCAATGAATGATGCAATCTGGTACTATTCGTGACAAAAATAGTTCACCTGAATCTAATCCTGAAGGAACAATCAAACACTTCCAAATGGAAAGATGTTCTGCAAAACTGGCCTGAACTCTTCAAAAATGTCAGTGGCCAGGAAAGACCAAAGCAAAACAAAAGGCTCAGAAATGGTTCCAAATTAAAAGATGCTCAAGAAGCATGACAACTAAATGCAATGTGTGATCCTTGATTCCATCCTGGATCAAAGGGAAAAAAAAGCTACAAATAACATTATTTGGAGGACTGGTGAATTTTGAATATGGATTATATATTAGATAATAAAGTTGGGTCAACGTTAAATTTCCTGAGTACAGTCACTGTATTGTGGTTACGGAGGAGAGTGTCCTTGTTCTTAGGACGCCTTGAAAGGGCTGAAGTGTTGCTATAGCTGCAGTTAGCAGTGGTTCAGCGAAAAGAAACAAGTAAACCGATAAATATGTGTGTTTGTGTATCTAAATAGAGAGACAAAGGAAATGCGATGGCAAGTGTTGACAATAGAGAAATTACAGGTGAAGGGTACACAGGTGCACATTATTCTATTCTTCATCTTTGCTGTAGGTTTGAAATTTTTCAAAACAAAAACTTGGATAGAATAAATAATAAAAACAAACAAATGAACAAAAAGCTTTGTTCCAGGATGTTTTCTGTGAAGCCTTTCATGATATCCCTCCTGGCTGCCCCGGTCCCCGAGCACAGACACACATAAAACAATGAATCACCCTCTCTTCCGGACTCTTTCATGATTATGTATCTCTCTGACTAAACTGTAAGCTCTTTGATATCTGGGCCTGTGTGTGTTGTGTTGGATCTACACAATGCTAGAACTGTACCTGACACCGACTGGATGCTCAGCTGATGCTTTTTTAAAAAAATTAATCGAGCTGATTCTTGAGGCTTGGAAAGGATTCAGTAAGCAAGAACGAGCAAGAGCCTTATCTCATGGGAGAGGAGTGGCATGAGCAAAGGTAAGGAAGCA